GTTAAGGGTTCTGCTGATCATTCAGCAACTTTTGCGTGGAAATAACTTGAGTCACAAAAAGGGATAATTTGCATCCATTAGCATTTTCAGGTTAACAATGGCTAGTTTTTAACTGTTGTTCTTAATATGTCACTGGCTAGTGGCTGGGAGGTATGATTTATAGTCAAGCCAAGGACTCAAGGGGATATATGTTAAACTGTTTCGTCTCATTTTTTACCTCAGTAATGGGTCAAAAGTGAAAAAGGTTACCCTTTTCACTTTTGTTTTCAGGCCATGAAGCCTGAGATCTCTTAGTCATTTCTTTAAGGAATATTCAATTATTCAATCTGTTTTATTTGGTTCTGTTTTTTCTATTTGATTACTTACTAATGGGTTCTGTTGATTTGTGCAATTCACCAATCACCTTGCTTAAAGGATAGAGGAACTAAATGAAGCCAATTGGGACTTTCAGTCAAAAATGTTAATTCTTAGCATCTTTTTTTTAAAAAGATAATATGTCATCATACTTGGATAATTCTGAGTTGTAGATTGTATTTTGTGTTGTTTTTAATTTACAATAAGTCATCACTTCACTACCACACGCTCAACACAGAGGTAGTCAAGTCTTGGCATGCATGGTAATTAATGCTCCTACATGGCTTAACTAAGATTAACATTCCTTACCAAAAGACGAGAAAAGTATGATTTAACAATCTAAGTTTGAGATATGATATAACCATGCAAGGGATCCACTTTTGAATAATCTACTGGTAACTACAATGTAGATTAAAAGCTCTATAGTGAGAAGGGTGTTTCTAGAAGTGGAAGTGCACATGCTATTCTGTACCATCACATATTTGGAAAGAGTAGGCTTCGGGAAGTTCTGTTGGAGAAATAGAATGACCTATCTACGGGTTTCCGGTATGTTTGTCTCTGTTAAAGGAGTCATTTCCTTGTTAGTGATCTTGGGATTGACTACTGGTTATATTGCCACAATGATGGGGTTCAAGTTGTTGGGATTAGCAGAGATTGCAATGTTTTCCTCAGCAAATCTACCTTAACTTCAGGACAGGTATATTTTTCTGCTCTCATTTGAAACTTGAGATCTATTCGGTATCACTTTGGTTTTTGAAGAGTTTTCTGCTAGAGTTTTGGTTTTGATTTTTGATGTCTTGTGTTTTCTCAAACAGTTTTATTTTTTTTATTATTTTTTTTCAAGAGATAAATATGAGTGGGAAATCATTTTTGCTTGAATTTTTGGAAAGTCAATTAATAGGCAGCTTCTTGCCACAATCTTTGAAAATTAAAAGGGATGTTTTCTGGTTACAAGTTTGCACAAAATGTGTTATTATATGATTAAAACTATTATATATTATATCTTTATTCACATTTCATTTATATTTTCTGTGTAATATTTTGTTGGGACTAGCTATCTTCTTGCTGCAAATCCTTGTGTCAATGCACTTCTTTTACCTTGTTCTAAGTGGATCTCATTGGCTGGGTAAAAAAGTGGAAGAAGTGCGTTAATGCGCAGCCCTTTGCTGCATTGAAATAGCCGAGTCCCTATTTGGCTTATATATATTACTTGTATTTGGTTTTTTTATTATATATTTATAGATTTCAGAATATTTTAGTGATGAAAATATTTATCTATATACATTTATACATATTAAAATGATTTCAAATGATACTGTTTGTATTATGAAAGTAATATATACCTGCTTTCTTCCACATATACTTTCAAAATCTTTTAACTGTGTTGTTCCATTATGTACCTTTTCATTATAATTTATTTCGGTAAAGATTTCTATACTTTTTATTAATAAATAGTTATTAAATTATCTTTCAAAACTTATTAAACACTAAAGAATGGAAGAATAGCAATGTTGATTTTTATTTTTATTTTTTATTTTTTAAGAATTGGAAACTTAAACTGCCTGTTGCAGTTTTAAGTTTCCAGATTTTATTTTCAATATATTTTAAGGTTTTTCCTCCTCCTTTTTTTTTTTTCAATAATTATTTTTCCAGTGATACCAAATGATCCTATAAGTTTCAAATGAAGTAATGAAAAATATACTTTGTTATGGAGCTCGGGTTAGGAATGCAAGAGGAGGACGTTGTTATCTAAGCTGATCTTGGTAACACCTTGTTAAAGGCAATTTGACCAAGTGGAATTCCCTTGATCTCTACCTGGAGATTACCCTTTCAATGGGATTAACATGTTTATTCGACCTGTCAATTTGTTCATTTTATTTCTTGTCGATCGAACTCTATGGAGTCTCAAACTTTCCATAATGTGGTAGAAATGGAGTATTATGGGTACGGCCATCATATACGAACACCTATTCTTCACTTGAAAGTTATAAATCTATGTTGTATAAATTGGTAGATTATACTGAAGAGTTGAGACCTTGACAAAAGTTATATCTAGGTCACTGTAACTTGGATTGTAATTAGTTTAGTGAATGGCCCACGTACTGACGTATATTCTGAATTTTTTTTAAAATTTATTTTGTAGGTTTTCAAATTGCAGCTCTAAATGTCAATTACAGCAACGAATTGTCACCTATTGTTTTTAATTTTTTTGGGTACCCCATTGTATATTTCAATACTAAAAAATGTATCAATAAAATTATTTCTTCTCTCGGTCTACTACCGTCGTGTGGATTATTACCATCTTCTTTGCGTTAATATCTCTCTTTAACACTCATCACTAGATATGATTGGAAGCTGCCAAAGGGCCGCCATTAAAAAGAGGGTACAAAAAAAAAAAAAAAATCCCAACAAAAATAAGCTGCTCTTTTCGCATGTTGGGTGATGGGTTTTTTCACTCTTTAATTTCTATCTACTTGTTTAGAGATTCAAACTTAATCTCCATCAAAAACAAGTTCCTAACAAAAATCAATCTCTTCTCTTTCTTTCCCCTCGTTTCTTTTTCATACCTTTCGCTTCTATTTAGTTGAAATTTCTCTCAAAAAAAAAAAAAAAAAAAAGAAGAAGAAAAAGAAAGAAAGAAAGTGAAAGCCGATCAAAAATCAAAGTTTTACACACGAAAATCAAAGTAAAATATAATTGAGTATAATAAAAATGTAACTGATTATATTAAAATTTTTTTAAAAGTTTTCATCTGAGATTTTTTAATAGGAAAGTGAAGTAATTGGTTATATTTTAAAATAATTAATTAAATATTCTTGAGGACCATTTTTGCAAGATGATTTGGTGTCGATTAGTCCCATCCAAAGTTGGTTTTTTTGGTTGGAGATTATGTCTTGACAGACTACCCACAAAGGTGAATTTGCGAAAAAGAGGGGTGGTTTTGCCGGAAGAGAGCTTAATGTGTGGATTGTGTGATGGTGTGTTAGAGGAGGTTAACCATCTCTTTTGTACATGTAACGAGGCTTGGTTGGTTTGGGTGAAGGTGCTGCAATGGTGGGGTATGGAAGCTGTGATTCCAAACACAGTGGGTGGAGTAGCTGAGTTTTTTATGTATGGTTTGGGTAGTATAATGGGAAAGGAAATGGGTGCATGTGTTTATCTTGCTGTTACTTGGTATATCTGGTTCTGTAGGAATATTAGAGTATTCAAGAATATGGAGAG